GCATAACTTACTTCAGTACAAATTCATCATTAGCCATGAGGCTAAAGTGTGTTTAAAACACAGTCAAACTTGTATGAAAATATGTTCTTCAAAACTTCTCTACAATACTGTATAATAAGAAAGAAAATTTTTGTAAAGCTTACTTTCACAGGTCTTGGTGAATTGTTTTTTATATTACCCATGCTCGTATTGTTTTTTGTTTTTTTTTTATACGTAATTTTTAATAAGATGTGTACATAAAATATTGTTTCAAACATTTACTGATGGGGGTGATGTAAATACATATTTTCTCTGTTTTTCAGAACGACCTGGTGTATTGGACCTCAAAGGGAAAGCAAAGTGGGACTCTTGGAATTCCAGAAAAGGTACAGTTAATGATTTGTAAACATTCTTGGTGTTTTAAAGTGTAATTAATCTGGTTTATAACTTTTGGTTTAATATTGACGGAATATCTGTTGTGTAACAGTTTTTAATCTTAACGTCAACATTTCTCACTATATTTTTTTTTTATTGAATTTTGTCACAGTAGTTGTATTATATTATTGTTAATAATGCTAAAAACAATTTGAATGTTTTCCCGAAAGGTTTAATAATTAATTTATCGCAGATATACCAAATTTCTTTGGTTTGTTAATCGGTCATTGAGATATAGTGAAAGCCAGTGTATGCGATTCTTGTTAAATCTGGAAATGTTTTTTTTATTTCTTCCACCAGAACAGGATGTTTTAAAGATTGATAGATAAACAAGATAACAGTAGTGAAATATGTGTCAGTTTTGATATAAGCGAGTCTATTCTGTTTTTGTTTTGAACTACTGTTCAGTTCTTTTTTTTTCTTTTCCTCCATCTTATAAACTTCATAGATCAATATATGATATTAAGATGATTGTTTTATTGAACTCAAATCTAATTTTGGGAAAGTACAGCTTTAGGGAATTAAATTTTTTAGTTCAGTCCATGTATAATTTTGTTTCTTTTCTAAAGAAGTTGAAAGTACCATAAAATTATATCATTTCAATTCGTAGGAATGTCTCAAGACTCTGCAAAGGAAGCCTACGTTGCAAAGGCTAATCAACTTATAGAACATTATGGTTTGAACTGATGAGATTGTTCTCGGCTAGCTACAATTCCCTGTAGAGTGTGCTACCATTGTTTTTATTTTTTTCATAAAATAAAATGTATAATATAGGATTGATTTAATTAATTATATTTTTTCATTGTAACCTACAACACACACTGTTACAAAATTATGTTACATTTAATTTAAGGACTTACTAATTACACCATAAATTCTTAGCAACCTAGAAATTTTACCGTCAAATATTTATCACTAATATATTTATTTCTCACTGTGCCAGAAAAGTAACTATGATAAACTAGGTAAAATGTTTCGATTATCAGAGAAACAAATCAAATAATACGTTCATTAATTTTTAGAAAAAACTGAAAAATCCGGTGTTCTTGATGAAATATCTCTTTTGATGATAAGTGTGTATTATCTATAATTCGTTTTTCAATAGTCAAAATTAAACATTTTTGTAATGTGAACATTATTACTTGATTGTAAACCCAATATTATATTAAGTTTTATGGAAAATTAAATATCGAGAATGTGGCCAACAGCTATGCTCATTAAAAGGCATTGAATTGTATATACAGATAGCCAATAAAAATAGCTTTGAAAATACTTTCCGAATGTTTGGATTATATATTTTTTTAACAATAAAAAGGTGAAAAGCAAATGCTAATATCACAACCTGTTTTAGCATATGACTAATGAAAAACGTGTCTCCTATCTTGAATATATGTATCCAATCAGCAAGACATAAATAAATGTGTATAAGAGCTTAACTGTTTCAACGTTTGGTCTTATTTATCTTTTTGAAAGAAGTAGGAGAGTGTCGACAGGGTTTGGAAAGTACTGTCTGTAATAGTAACGTCTCCTAATGGAGGCCAGTATAAAAACGCGGGGACCTATACAGCACAGGCTTAAGACCATCCGTGAGAGACTTGTAAATAATTATACAAAGTAGCGACACCATTAAAAGTATAACGACATTTTGTCAAATAAAGAATCAAGACATTCAAAAAAAGCCTTATATATACATATACATTTATTGATGAAAATAATATCACGTATACTCGTTAAAGTTAACAAAGAAAAGTGCTTCGTTATATTTTAAGTCACCAGTAGAGGGACAAAAAAGTGAAGTCTCGTAATTTCGTTTTAAGAGCTTAGCTCTTAATTCTTTGCAGCCCTTTGGAATTGTTTTCTGTCAATAATGTGAATTAAGTATTTACAGATAATCAATTAATGAAATATTACTCTAAGTTCACAGAAAAAGCTTCCTCGCAATATCGTTACATCATCAGTATTGGTGCAAACATATGAAATTTTGTGACTTCACGCGTGAGACAAGTCTAAAGGAAAATTACAGCTTTTCGAGGAAAGCCTGACAGTTGTTTTTAGTTACTAAAAGTTATGTTTGCCTGAGGGTGTTTATCAAGGTCAAAAAGAGAGTAAACCAAGTTGTGAAGGAAAACATTGTAATTCGTTTGTCTTGAAGATGTGGTATTTATGTACACTGATAACCGACAGATAAG